GGGGGGGGGGAGGAAGAGGATGCACCTTCAAGGATGGGGCCAGTTGGAAAAAGTCTCCCACAATGAAATCAATATGCTCTTCAACACCGTATACCTTTGCATTTTCAAAAGCCAATGCGACTTTTCTGGGATCAATATCAATTGCAATGACATGATGACACCTGTGTATGAGATCATGGGAGATAAAGATATGTTATGAGTCTAAGAACCATAAAAATCATTAAACTACCATTCTCTTATCAATAGCTTCAAGAAGATATTTCTCAAGGCTCATCTGATGCAGGTAGCTCATATAGAGCAAGTGCACGAGATTTTATGACCAATCACCATAAAAAAATTGCATCTCAGAAAGAAGCAATAGTCTTTTTGAGTTAACATTGAAGTGAATGCAATTTCTCAAAAAACAATTGCTTTTTGTTTTTTTGGTAAATCCACTAGGCGATGAGCCTAGGGCTAGTTTATATATATATATAACGAACAAAGTACCATAAGTTATTACAAAGAGTACGGAAATAGAAAATGATAAATACATAACCCCTATTGTCAACTTTGAGTAAATATCACCCAAAATTGACATCACAAATCGACCTAGGTACTGAACATTGCAAAGACAACACAACTGGTACATACACTGAAAATTATAGCATTCCCAACTCTTGTAGAATTTCTATCTGATTTTACTGCTTCTTTGAGACCAGACAAGCAATTCAACCAACAGAACATTTCAACTTCTAAACCTATAATCTCACAGAAATACAGGTCTACGAGATTGACTAAGATTTAATGAACTCTTTTATACAAAACAAGTAAGGAATAATTCTCATTTTTGTGTATACTAGGTGAATTTCTGTAAAGGATACTAATAGTAGTATAGATAATAATAGTTAACCATTGTATAGTTAACTTAAGTTAGTTAGAACCATAGTTAGTAAATTGGTTGTGAGTGTAGTTAGTTGGGTATTAGTTGTCCCGCTACTTGTAATGACAGTTGTCATTTTAACAGAAAATATTTTTCTTCTGTTCCATTGCTTTCTCCTTCCTTCCTCTTCTTCTACAATGGCAACCGTGATCTCATCTCAATCTGATTGAATTGAGCAAAGTTTACATGGTATCAGAGCTCCTAGTGACTGAATTGAGGGATCTATCACGAGATTTGCAGTGAAGATCGAGGAATTTCAGTCCATGCATGTTCAAATTTCGTCGATTGTAGAAAATCATTTGTAAACCCTAAGTTTTTTGTTCAAATGGCGATTGATGAATCAACTAGCAGTACTCCGAACGGAACAGCTAATGGATTGATTTTTATGGCTCAAACTCTTGATTATACACATCCACTCTATTTGCATCCTTCAGATGCACCAGGTTCTCTCTCTGTAGGAATCCAACTGATTGGAATGGAAAATTACACACTGTGGAGTCGTGCGATGAAAGTTGTACTTTTAGGAAGAAATAAACTAGGTTTTGTGGATGGATCTGTTGTGAAGAAGGATTTTGAAGGTAAATTGCAAAAACAGTGGGAACGGTGTAATGCAATTGTGGTTTCATGGTTAATGAGCAATGTGAATGCAGACTTACTCAGTGGAATTCTGTTTCGTTCTGATTCTTTCCTGGTTTGGAAGGATCTCAAGGAGAGATTCGATAAGGTAAACACTTCTCGAGCATATCATTTACATAAAGCAATTGCTACTATAACACAAGGAATTTCCTCTGTTTCCGTATATTACTCTAAGTTGAAAGACCTTTGGGATGAGCATGATTCTATAGTGCCTCATCCTTGTTATGAGAGTGAACAATCTAGGGAACACACTGTGTACTTGGAGCGCCAAAAGTTATTTCAATTCTTAATGGGACTGAATGATGGATACAGTCAGGCTAGATCTCATATTTTGATGATGAATACTGAACCCAACGTAAATCAGGCTTATGCAATGGTAATACAAGATGAAAGTCAGAAAATGCTAACCGGAGGACACTGTGCAATGACAGAGAGGATTGAACCAACTGCTCTTTATGGTAGTAAGGGTACAGGGCAGCAATATCAAAAGAAGTATAATTCACAATGTGATTTCTGTAACATGAAAGGGCATACCAAAGCTGAATGTTTCAAGTTGATGAAGTGTGATTACTGCCAAAAGAAGGGACATCTCAAGGAGAACTGTTACAAACTTAATGGTTTTCCACCAGATTTTAAGCCAAAGAGACGGGCTAACAATGTGACTGGGAACCAATATAGTACTGATGTATATGGTCAACAACAGGTGGCTAGCAATCAACAGACATTTGCATTTGGCCAACAACAACAACAGCAACAGACTGCAGCTTCACATTTTACACCACCTGTATTCACTCAGGATCAATACAATCAAATTTTGCGCATGTTAAACAAGTCCAACATTATTGAACCAAGTGCTCATATGGCAGGGGCAGGTAATGTAACTTGTCAATCAGATGATGTTGTTTTTAAATGGATCATAGACACAGGTGCCACCAACCACATGATTAGTGATGAAGGTTTGTTACAATCTAATACTGCTATGCCAGCTGATGATGCAGGGAAAGTACAATTGCCTACAGGAGATTCTGCACAAATTTCACAGATTGGAAATTGCCAACTAACTGGAGGTGACATTATCCAGAATGTCCTATGTGTGCCAACATTCAAGTTCAATCTTTTGTCTGTGTCTAGGCTGACAAAGGAACTGAATTGTTGTGCTATGTTCTTTCCTGATTTTTGTCTATTTCAGGATCTCTATACTGGAAAGGTGAAGGAGACTGGTAAGGAGCAGGATGGACTGTATGTGATGTATTCACAAAGGATAAGGAGTAATGCAAATGTTAGGAAGTCTCTAGCTGTTCAACAGAAGTCTCTAGCTGTTCAACAGAAAATAAGTGCAGATGTTTGGCACAAGAAGATGGGACATGTTCCTCTCTCAGTATTGATAAAAGTCTCTACTTTTAGTAAAGATAGTTTTGCTATAAATCATTGTGATGTATGTCCATTAGCAAGACAAACTAGGATTTCTTTCCCCATAAGTCATAGCAGAGCTGAGGATGTTTTTTAGTTGATACACATGGATGTGTGGGGTCCTTACAAATCTGTTACATATGATGGAATGCAATATTTTCTTACTCTTGTAGATGATCATACTAGATGGACTTGGATCTTCCTGATGAGGGTCAAGTTTGATGTTATTCTGCTACTACAAAACTTCATTACAATGATACACAATCAGTTTGATAAGAGGATTAAGGTTCTGAGATCAGATAATGGATCAGAATTCTTTAATCACAATTGTAGCACTCTTTTTTCATCATATGGTATTCTACATCAGAGCTCCTGCCCCTACACTCCTCAGCAGAATGGAGTAGTGGAGAGGAGGCATAGGCACATATTAGAAACTGCACGAGCTATCAAGTTTCAAGGAGGTTTACCTTCTAAATTCTGGGGTATATGTGTAGAAGTTGCAGTTTACATCATCAATAGAATACCCTCTACTGTGTTGCATAACAAGTCTCCTTATGAGATGCTTTATCATACAGCACCAACTTTAGATCATATGAGGATTATTGGCTGTCTATGTTATGCTACCAGACTTCCAAAGCAAGACAAGTTTGGTGCAAGAGCAATCAAAGCAGTAATGATGGGATATGGAGTTCATCAAAAGGGGTACAGGTTGTATGATCTGGAGAATAATACTTTCTTTACTAGCAGAGATGTGGTCTTTTTTAAATCCATTTTTCCTTTTCAATCCTCACAAACCTCCCCATCCCCAATTTCTCCTATTGTGTCACATATGCCCTCTATTGATGACTCAGTACCTTGTGTTTCCATTCCATCACAACATATGTCTCAACCCACAGCTGCAGATGATACAACCTTCTCTCAAATGGAGCCTTTGCCTACAGAGATGCCTTTGTCTACAGAGATGCCTCTCTCCCCTGTAAATCATGATATTGATCCTCAGACTGCTTCACCAATTTCTGAAGTTTTTCCTCCTCCTGTTGTCAACCCTACTAACAGGCCAAAGAGGACTACTAAGCCACCAATATGGCTTAAGGACTATGTAGTCCCAGGGAAAGGGCCTCCGTCTTCTACCAAGTGTTTGTATCCTATTGCAGGGCCTACAGTGCTTTATCTGCCCAATACCAGAGTTTTATCTCTAAATTCTCATTAGAGACTGAACCTAAGCCTTATGCAGAAGCAGCTAAGGACCCTAGATGGATTGATGCTATGAAAGCTGAAATACAAGCCTTAGAAGATAACAAGACTTGGGAAGTGGTGTCATTGCCGCCTGGTAAAAGGGCTATTGGTTGTCGATGGGTATACAAAATAAAGTATAAAGCTACAGGTGAGGTCAAGAGGTTCAAAGCAAGGCTTGTGGCAAAAGGCTATAGCCAAAAGGAGGGGCTGGATTATCAGGAAACCTTTTCTCCTGTAGTGAAAATGGTGACTGTTCGATCAGTTATTTCAGTTGCTGCATCTAAGAACTGGGCCATACATCAAATGGACGTCTACAATGCATTTCTGCAAGGGGATCTTAATGATGAAGTGTATATGACTATGCCTCAAGGTTTTTCTGTTGCTGCAGGTAAACAGCAGGCCTGCAGGTTGCTTAAGTCCCTCTATGGACTCAAGCAAGCCTCCAGGCAATGGAACATCAAATTGACTTCTGCTCTACTTGCCTCAGGTTTCACTCAAAGCCACCTCAACTACTCTTTATTTACAAAATGCTTCACTGGGAAAACTGCCATTGTCTTGGTTTACGTGGATGATCTCTTGATCACTGGAGATGATACCACACTCATTCAGGATACTAAGGATGTATTACAGAAGAATTTTAAGATTAAAGATTTGGGTGAGCTTCGATTCTTTTTGGGCATTGAGTTTGCCAGAAGTCAACATGGGATTTTGATGCATCAACGCAAGTATGCGTTGGAACTTACTTCTAATATGGGTTTAGCAGGTGCTAAACCTGTGGCTGCACTAGTTGAACTCGATCAGAAGTTAACAACTGCTGAATTTGATGCACATCTAGGCTTGGAGAATGATCCACCACTTACTGATCCTGGTAGTTATCAACGACTGATTGGAGGCTACTTTATTTGACAGTCACTCGCCCAGACATTTCCTATGCTGTCCAAACTCTTAGCCAATTTATGCATTCTCCTAAGACTTCTCACATGGAGGCTGCTATCAGACTTGTCAAATACATCAAGCAAAGTCCTGGAATGGGAATTCTTATGTCATCTGCTGCTTCCCTTCACTTACAAGCCTATTGTGATGCTGATTGGGCATCCTGCCCTTCCACTAGAAGGTTTGTTACAGGTTATATGGTGAAGTTAGGGGACTCTTTGATTTCTTGGAAATCTAAGAAACAAACCACCATCTCCAGGAGTTCAGCTGAGGCAGAGTACAGGAATCTAGCTTCTGTGGTTGCGGAGATCGTGTGGCTTGTTGGTTTGTTCAAAGAGTTAGGTGTGGAGGTTCAGTTGCCTGTTCCAGTTCATTGTGACAGCAAATCTGCTATCCAGATTGCTGCTAATCCAGTGTTTCACGAACGTACTAAGCACATAGACATTGATTGTCATTTTATTCGCGAGAAGATTCAACTTGGTTTGATTCATCCAGTTTATGTGTCTACTACAGAACAGCGGGCTGATATCTTGACAAAAGGCTTGACTTCACTGCAACATCACTACTTGCTTTCCAAGCTAGGAATGAAGGATGTCTTCATACCTTCTAGCTTGAGGGGGGGTAAAGGATACTAATAGTAGTATAGATAATAGTAGTATAGATAATAATAGTTAACCATTGTATAGTTAACTTAAATTAGTTAGAACCATAGTTAGTAAATTGGTTGTGAGTGTAGTTAGTTGGGTATTAGTTGTATAAATATAGTTGTCCCACTACTTGTAATGACAGTTGTCATTTTAACAGAAAATATTTTTCTTGCTTTCTCCTTCTTTCCTCTTCTTTCTACAATGGCAACCGTGATCTCATCTCAATCTGATTGAATTGAGCAAAGTCTACAATTTTCACTTGAACAACGCACAGAGAAATAGAGAATGGCAGTAGAGGAATTAATTAATGGGTTCATTTCCATCTTTTATGCTCTTTGTATTAGAGGCAGACTAAAAGAAGACCCCAAAAAATAATTGAAAACAAAAGGACTCAGCAATAAACGCTACACTACATACATAGTTGCAAATTGGATAGCATTTCCACCAACACCAGTGAAAGCATCAATGACGACACCGCCGCCACAGCGAGCGGCATGCCTGACGGCAATCTGCTCCGGCGTAACTGAAAACCAGCCCTCTTCATCCATCTTAATTCCTTCGTCATATCTAGAGAAAAGATCATATCTTTGGACCCAATACTTCTTTACCAGTGGACTTAATCCTTGTTCTGCTTTAACACCTACTGCATTTTTACTTCTCCGTTTTGTTTTTAACTTAACTGAGAAAAGAAAAAAGTTCTCAGGATATTGGAGAACGGTAAAAGAAGTTGGTTTCCAGATTATGAGAGGATAAAAATTAGCAATGTAATTGTTGATTCTACTTGCCAAATGGGGTTACCTCTTCTCTTGAAAAACTTGGGTTTGCGTTTTCCAGCAGAGCAACGGCGGTTAAGTAGCGCTACAACTTCTGTAATCACACTATTCATTTTGGTGCTTCTTTTAATTCACACACACACACACAGAGACTGTAAATGTTTTTTCAATGGAAAATATTGAGATTTCAAAGCTTTCGAAACGAGATGACGCAGGGTGGGGGTTCTCCAATGGAGAAGTGGGGAAAAGGAAAAGAAACAAGCAAAAAGGAAGTATAGTGCTCGACTGTTGTAATGAAAGTTTTGGTCAAAATGGTACAAATGGACCCTTATGTTTGGGAGTAGGTTTAATATAGTCCCTTAAGTATATTATTAAGCAGTTCTAAGTTTTTAAGTTTATCAAAAGTGCGCCTTTTTAGTTTCAGTCAAATATTAACAAATTCTGATCGTTAGATTTAATGAAAACTATACAATCAAAAAAAAAATCGAAACTCATATTTGGAGGTGCAGTTTTTATAGTTTTTGGTCTATTTTTAGTGTCATGTGCAGTTCTTTTAGGTGTAATTATATATTTTTTATTTTATTTTTAGTATCTGTGGCACTTTTTTAGTGTTCTAATTTCGGAAATTTAACAGGACTTTTTATTGGTTAAAACCTTTTTTAGCATTCAATATTTGTTAATTATTTACGAATATCAAAAGTATTTTTTTGTATCAAATTTTAAAATCCAATATTGCTCAGGAATGTATGTTTTTATGAACTATTTTAAATCAACCCAAAATATTGATGATCATTTTTGTTATCTTCTCGAAAGTTTTGGTAATAACTTTAAATTGGAGGTTTAAGTTTTATCTCGAAATAGAGAATAATTTTCTTCGAACAAAATTGGTAATTTCAACGTCAATATGATCTATAGAAACTGTTAAAATTAATTATTTTCCATTAGCTTACATAATCAGCTATATTAGCTTTGTTAGAGTTCGTTAGTTAGTTTAGTGGTTAAGTACAGTTAGTTAGGAGTAGTGACAGCTGTCAGTTTGTTTTAGTTAGTTAGCTTTGTCTTTACACTCTTGTATATAGTGGGAGGAGTTCCACTTAGTCGTGTAATTCAATTCAATAGAGAAGAATCTCTCTTTCTTCCAGAATGTTCATCTGGCCATTTTCTCCTTCTTCTATTTCGACTACCATTGATCTCAAAGTATGAAGCTTCCGCCATTGATGTTGGTGCACTCTAAGCTCAGCAAATGTGGAAAACTACTGTTTCATTGGCAGAATTTTGATATGGTATCAGAGCAAGGTCAGAAGTTCCGATTCATTCCCCCAGATCTGTTAAATCTAGATTGATCATCCTCGATTTTTGTTTTGATCATACATGCAATTTTTGTTCTCATCAATTTCAACTCATACCTCTTAAAATTCTCTGTCAGAATTCTAGATCTATAGTTAGAAATTTTCTGTTGGTTAGTTAGCTGAATTTCACACCTTGTAAGAGATAGCTGCTATCAGAAATGATGAACAATCTACGTCGACCATGGCTGAATCTCCTAATCAGCCAATTGTTGACACTAGCAGTCCTTTTTACATGCATCCTTCCGATAATCCGGGAATAGCACTAGTTCCTGTTCCATTTGATGGATTTGGTTATCGCTCATGGAGAAGAGGTGTGATGATAGCCCTATCAGTGAAAAATAAACTAGGCTTCATCAATGGGGACTGTAAGAGGCCGGATCCAGACTCCTCAAGCTATCGATTGTGGGAGAGATGTGATGATATGGTGAGTTCATGGATTTTGAATTCCTTGGCAAAGGAAATTGCAGATAGTGTTGAATATGTGACAGATGCAATCGAGCTGTAGAAAGAACTTGAAGATCGATATGATCAAACAAATGGAACAAAATCTTACCGGATTCAAAAGGAGATTAATGATTTGTTCCAAGGAGCTCTGGACATCACTGGCTACTATACAAAAATGAAAAAGCTATGGGAAGAACTTAATACTCTGATTGCTAGGTCTTATTGCACCTGTAATTGCACATGTGGAGCAAGGGAAGGTATGTACAAAGCAGAACAGGACAGAAGGCTAATACAGTTCCTTATGGGACTAAATGAGACCTACACTGTGGTCTGAGGCAGTATCCTTATGATGAATCCTCTTCCTACAATTGCACAAGCTTTCTCACTGCTGATCCAAGAGGAAAGACAGAGAAAAATTAAGCCTCGTAACCACTTAGCTCTTGAGCCATCGGCCTTAAACATCACAAGCAAAACAACATCGTTTAAGACAAATTACTCTCCTAATAACTCTCACAACTATAGAAACAGACCCTTCTGTGGTTACTACAAAAGGCAGGACACACAAAAGAGGAGTGCTATAAACTTCATGGTTATCCTCAAGGCTTCAATCAAAATCAGAATCCTAATCTAGGCCACAATCAAGCTTCCAGTTTCAATCAAAACCTAAGACAAAACCATAACTATGGGAATAATTCCGGTGTGAACCAAAGTACCAGGTTCAATAGGGGAAATAGAGGAATGGCTAATGCACATGTAACAGCTACAGATACTCAGCATACTGGTGATGAGAACTGCAATACTCAAAATGTGAGTCTCACAAAGGAAGAATACAGTCAACTTGTGAATCTGCTGCAGCAATTCCAATCAGGAGGAGAAAGAGACAGCTCAGACAATGCTAACACTTCATCAGTAAACTTTGCAGGTATCATAGTCTGCACCTCCTCTATTGATTTTGGGAAACTCTCATGTGAATGTTTCAAAAACAAGGCTGACTCATGGATTATAGATTCAGGGGCATCAAATAATATGACTTTTAATAGATCCTTTTCAACTAATATAGTAACTCTACCTTATCCTATACTTGTCATTCTCCCAAATGGTTACAAAGTGAAGGTGACTGAGATTGGTAATGTTGTACTTACTCCTAAGATCACTCTGAATAGGGTAATGCTTGTTCCTTCTTTTAGATACAACCTAATTTCTGTTCGCTCTTTAACCTCTCACCTTAGTTGCCTTGTTGCCCTCATTAAGCATTGTTGTATACTGCAGGCCCCTTCAATGAAGAGGCCTCTGGTGATTGGTAGAGTCAAAGATGGACTTTACATCTTATGCCCAAGTTGTTTGAAGAACAACAATGCAAGTTCTGGAGCTAATGCCACTGATTTCTTGTCCGTCCTTGTCACTCGCTGCACTTGTAACACACAATGTCCACTTCATTCTCTTGTAGATACATCATCTCATGTCAATAAGTGTGTTCTTTCATCCTCAATTGTAAATAGTTCAAGTGTAGGTATTGAAGAACAATTTCTTTCTGTGAATTCATCATCTAATTCTTCTAGTGCATTTTCTCATCTGTGTTGGAGATAGTGTAGATGTTCTGTGGCATAACAGGCTTGGACATGTTCCTTTTATAAAAATGAAAAATATCTCCTCCATTCCTGTAACCTTTTCTTCCAAACAACCTTTTAATTGCACCATTTTCCCAATAGCTAGGCAGGAAAGACTTCCATTTCCTCAGAGAACCAACACAACCAATAAGATTTTTGAGCTACTACATGTTGACTTATGGGGACCATATCATGTGCCCACACATGATAAGTACAAATATTTCATGACCATTGTGGATGACTTCAGTAGGTCCACTTGGACTCATCTCCTATCCATAAGAGTAATGCCCATCAAGTACTTAAGGGATTCATTAGTCTGGTGGAAAACCAGTTTGGAGTGAATGTCAAAGCTATGAGAGCAGACAATGGACTAGAGTTCACTAATGCAGAAACAAACATGTTATTTCAATCCAAAGGTATCATACATCAAAGAACTTGCCGCTACACTCCACAACAGAATGGTGTAGTGGAAAGAAAGCACAAGTACCTCCTTGAAACTGCTAGAGCTCTCCTCTTCCAATCTAAGCTGCCCCTAAGGTATTGGGATGAATGTATTCTTTGTGCAACCTTCATTATAAACAGACTCCCTTCCACTTCTATTAATGGTCAAACTCCGTATGAATTGTTGTACAAAAGAAAGCCAAAGTACTTTTACCTAAAAAGTTTTGGCTGCATGTGCTATCCCACTGTACCTAGACCTCACAGAGACAAATTTGAACCCACAACAACACCACATGTATTTGTTGGCTATCCCTTCAACACAAAAGGATACAAGGTCCTAAGTCTAGCCACTAGAAAGATCATTGTCTCCAGAGACGTAGTTTTCAATGAATCTATCTTTCCATTTGCAATCAATATGAATATATCTTCCCAATAATGTGTTCCTCATTCAATTCCTTTTATTGAACTTCTATGTGAGGAACCTTCTGTTAGTACAAACATTACACAACAAACATCTGAATACTTGAGTTCTCAAAGAAATAATGTTGACAACACAACTAATCTCATGTCACCTACACATGACCACTCCTCATCACCCTCCATAGTGCCTAATTCTCCAATACAATTTTCATCACAAGACCATACTGAACAACCTCATACATAACCCATGCAGCTGAGACAGTCCTCAAGAACACACAAGATACCTAGTCATTTGCAAGACTATATACATTCCCTACCTAAACTTAAGCCAAATCCTAACTCCCTTAATGCATTATTTTCTACGAACCATCATGTTGCCTCTGATCTATTAACTCCTAACAGTCAAGTTCTTGTGAGAAAATATTTGTCATGACAGGAACCATCATCATATGAGGAAGCAGCCATTGATCCTGCATGGCAAGCTGCAATGACACAGGAATTTGAGGCTCTATATTCCAACCACACTTGAGACCTGGTAGCCCTGCCACCAGGGAAGCAAGCAATAGGATGCAAGTGGGTTTACAAAGTGAATCATAAAGCTGATGGCAGTATAGAAAGGTTCAAGGCCAGATTGGTTGTGAATGGCTACACACAACAGGCAGGAATTGACTACATAGAGACATTCTCCCCAGTGGTGAAGATGACAACAGTGAGAGCATTAATAACCACAGCAGTGAAGGAGGGGTGGTGTATATCTCAGCTAGATGTAAACAATGCCTTCCTCCTTGGAGACCTTAATGAGGAAGTATATATGCAGATCCGCCTGGACTTGTTGTGGATAAACCTGGACTGGCATGCAAATTAAACAAGTCTCTCTATGGTTTAAAGCAAGCCAATCGACAGTGGTATGCAAAGCTGACTGAGGCTTTGTGCTCTAAAGGATACACACACTCCATGAATGACTACTCACTCTTTTATAAGAAAAGTGGAAATTCCTTGGTATATG